TCCTCCTCGCCATCAGCCATCGGCAGGGCGGCAAAGCAGGCTCAGGGGCAGGGGCTGGGCAGGGGCTGCTCCCTGCCACCCCCAGGAACACGGCCAAGCTGCTGCCTCCAGCCCCCCCGGGGCAGCCCCTGCTTCCCACATCCCCAGGCAGCACCGCCTGCGCCTCGACCAGCCCTTGTCCTCTGTTCCCAGTGGCAGGGGTTGTGAGGGACCAGCCCTCAGGACCTGTCATAGGCCCTGGGACAAAACAAAGGGACTGCCTGACAAAGGGCTCCCTGAGGCCCAGCACATGGAGACAACTACGGAGCTCAGGACACAACAATGGGGATAATGACAGAGGGGTTGTTATATGACTCAGCCACATTTACTCATCACTACAGGTCAGGACAAGGTGGTGTCCTCATCCCAGGTTCATTTCCTTCCCCCTCTTGGCTCCAGCATCTCCCGGCCAAGCTCAGCAGCTCCTCCAGCCCACCCCAACCCCACCAACCCACCTGCTTTGCTTGCCTCTCTGATTCCCCATCTCTGTCACTGCCCTCTCCATGACACAACCTCACCATTTTCTCCCAAAACAACACAGCCACTTCCCTCTTCTTTCCTCCTCCTCCTCTCTCCAGTGCCATTCCACGACACTACAAAAACACTCTTCTGCAACCTCAGCTGCTCCCTGTCTCCTCACCCCCTGTGCTCAGCACCTCCAGCCCAGCTGCAGTTACTGGCTTGCTGGAGCAGGAGCTTTTTTTCACTGTTATACATACATAAAGAACAAAATATTAAATATATATATAACATATAGATGTATATGCATAATATAAACATATATATATATGAAAGATACACAGACACACAAACTGCACCTTGCAAAGGGCACCTGGCAGCGCCAGACACGGGGATAACACAGCAGGGACACATGAAGTCAAACCCTCCGAGCAGAGCTGGAAGGCAGGGAGGGCACGTCCCGCCCGGGCTGGTGGTCCCCAAACCCCTCCCTGCTCAGGGTTTCCTCCCGCCTGGCACTGCCCCAGATAAAAAAAATCTTCCTCCTGCCTTCGGGAAAGTGAAAATCCGAACCGAGCCCCGGGAAACCGAGCCCGGGCGGTGCAGAAGGCGGGTCGGGTCCGGTGTCGGGTCCGGCGCTGGCCACGGGCAGGACGGAAGTTGCTCAATGGGGAGAGAAGGAAGGAAACTACTTCTTTTTTTTCCCTTCCTTAAAAAAAAATACTGAGGAAGGAGCAGCCCGGGG